CGAACGTGAGCCGGCGGATCGGGGGGCCGATCGGGACACGTGAGGAGCGGGCGCCGCGCTGGGCCGCGTTCGCTCTTGGGGGGTCGGGCGAGGGCCGCGGCGGGGGATCCGCCCTCTCCGAGGCCGGTCTGCCCTTCGCGAAGGGAGCGCTGGGCTTCGCCCGCGGGGACTGTCGTGGATGGGTGCCCCGGGCGGCTCCGGTGTCCTCAGCCCTCCCGGAGGACCTTGGTTCCCCCTCCACCACCATCACCAGATAACAACATAGACGAGGGCCCGCGGGCGCCTTCGGGGCGGAGACCCGCAGTTTTCCTCCGCATCCCCCCTGCCCCCGGCCGGGCCTGGCACACAGTAGGCCCCCAGGTGCCACTGCATGTTGGTTTCCCTGCCAGCATGGGAAGCTTGCCAGCACTTGAATCCACCGCCAGCTGCTTCACTTTGCCCCACTTTACGTCCACCCCGGCGAACTGTTGGGTATCTGACCTTCATTTGAACCCGTTTTTCCCTCACCCGGACTTCGCATTCCTCCTTCGGGAGACTCGAAAGGAAACGGACGGGATTGGTAGAGCTGGAGAATGGGGTCTTGCCATGGATAAATGGGGGTCTCCCTCAGTGGAGACAAAACAGACCTCACCAAAATAAATAAATAAATAAATAAAAATGTGAACTTCAGACCTTGACCCTTTTAGAAGTTTTACTTTAACTCGGGGAGGCCGCCAAACACGGTAGACGGTTTTTGAACGTGTTGTAATTAAATTGGAAGCAAGTAGGTAACTTTTTTTGCAATGAGTTTAGGGTTTGTTTGTGGGTTTTGTTTTTTTGTTTTTTGTTTTTGTTTTTAAGTGAAATCGCTTAAGGAAATGATGGGCCGGAGAACAGCAAAATCCCCCTCGTTCTACTAAAATCATTCACACGAATTAAAAGTCTGGCATGGTGTTCATACCATGTGTGAGCACCTGTAATATGAGCACTTGGGAAACGGAGGCAGAATTAGAAGTTCAAGGTCATCTTTACCTCTAGGCGAGGCTAAGCTACAAGGGACCCAGTCTTAAAAAGGGGGGCAATTAAATAAGTAATGACCCCTCGTTATGGCACTCAAAACAAGTGGATCTCTCAGTTCGAGACTTAGCCGCCAAGCCAGACCACCTAAGTTTGATCCCCAGGCCTGACGTGGTTGAAGAAGAGAAAACTTGACTCCTTGGGATTGTCCTCAGACTTCCACACTTGGGTTGTACCAGATGTGTGTCCACACATGTATGCACAATAAAGACGGCTTTAAAAAGAACGAAAAATGGAGCTGGGATGTCACTCAGTTTTAGGGTGGGAGCCTGATCAAGCTTTAGGCACAGTATTGGATCTCCACACCCCCTGGTCCACCCACAAATATAAATAAACAAATAACTTGGAACATATTTAAAAGTCACTAGTAGTCCAGTTGAAATGAATTTAACCTCCTGGCTGGTCTGGAGTGGTGCACACCTTTAATCCCAGCACTTGGGAGGCAGGGGAAGGCCAGCCTGGTCTACAGAGTGAGTGCCAGGACAGCCAAGGCTGCAAAGAGAAACCCTGTCTTGGAGAAAGGAAAAAAAAAAAGGAAGCCTGGCATGAATGCAAACCCTTGAATCTCAACACTTGGAAGGTAGAGGTCAGATTCGAAACAGTTCAGGCCAACCTCCAACCTCAGCTTTGTAGCAGTTCTATCAGCCATGTGAGCCACTTTCCAAAACGAAACTAAAACAATAGTAACAAATCTAGGATTTAAAACAGCACTTGATCCCTAAATTAAACATGAATTAATAAAATATATACAAATATCAGTAATTTAATGTTAAAGATTTATATATATATATTTTATTATTATTATTATTTTAATTTTATGTGCATTGGTGTTTGGCCTGCACATATGCCTGTGTGAGGGAGTCAGACCCACTAGAACTGGAGTTACAGACAGTTGTGAGCTGGGAATTGAACCCCAGTCCTCTGGAAGGGCAGCCAATGCTCTTAACCACTGAGCCATCTCTCCAGCCCTGTTCAAGATTTTTGTTTGTTTGTTTTTTGTTTTTCGAGACAGGGTTTCTCTGTAGCTTTGCGCCTTTCCTGGACTAACTCTGTAGCCCAGGCTGCCCTCGAACTCACAGAGATCCGCCTGCCTCTGCCTCCCAAGTGCTGGGATTAAAGGCATGCACCACCACCACCCAGCGATTTTTTTTTTTTTAATTAATCAGTTTAACTCGATGTGTTGTCTGTGTCCATTTGTGTTAACATATGTGTGCCTGGTGTCTGCAGAGGCCAGAAGAAGGCCTTACATCCCTGGAATTGTAGTCGATGGTTGTGAGTCACCATGTGGGTGCTTGGAATTGAACCTGGGTCCTCTGGAAAAACAAGCAGTTCTCTAACGGCCGAGCAAGCTCTCCAACCCCAAGATAGGCTTTTAATTAGCCTAAAGGAAATCAGAACAGAAAAAAAAAAACAAATGACTAAGAAAAAAGACGCAATGCAAACAGAATCACCAATCTCTGATGTCATGATTTAACAACCAGAACTGGAAACAAGCTCTCAGAATTCAATGGTAAGGCCAAGTCCCAAACACACTTTGAAGGAAAGAGATTTTGAACAAGAGTTCCTGAACTTGGTAGCTGCATATGACTTCATTTATGCTAAGTAAAAGGGTTTGGGTTTTAAAATCACATTTATGTGATTTTATTTTGTGTCTATGTATGTGTGTGAGATCAAACATTCATCATCAGACTCAGTGGCAAGCACCTTTACCCCCTGATCTAGCCGGCTGACCCTGGTTTTAGGTGTTTGTGTCTGCCTCAGGGCCTTGCTCTGAAGCCCTGGCTGTCATAGAACTCACAGAGGTTCCCCTGCCTCTGCTCCCCGAGTTCTGAGGTCAGTGTACCATTATGCCCAGGGTGCAGTTGCCTGTGCTTTGCAGGAAGAAAGAACTGACAAAGAACTAAGAAATAGGCATTGCTGTGGGGCTGCACTTGGAGCCCAAGACCTCTGAGAGCATCTTCGACATCCAGAGGATTTGTGGGGCCTGGGGTTTAATCCCCAACGCTGAAAAAATAATGAAGCATGTCAGGACAATGCCCTTTCAGACCAGTGATCTCGGAGGCAGCTTCCAGGATGGCTCAGAATGGTCTTTGTCCTAGTGTTCTGACCCTGTGAAAACCTGTCCACCGGTATATGAGCTACACCTCACGACTCCATGGCCATGTGTGCCCTTGATCCCCACACTCCAGAGGCAGAGGCAGGTCTAGTATACATTGCAGATTCAGCCACCCACATTTTGAGACCTTACATCCAGGAGGAGAAAAGGTTAAAAAAAAAAAAAAAGAGCTAGGAATGTAGCCCAGTTGGCAGGGTGCTTGCCTCCCATCCTTGAAGCCCTGAGTTCAGTCCTCAGCTCCCCATAAACAAGGTGTGGCAGGAACATTTGTAAGCCCAGCATCTGGAAGAAGAAGTCCAAGGGCTACATTGCAAGTACTCTTGGTTTGGTTGGTTGGCGTTTTTTGTTGTTGTTTTGTTTTTTTCCAAGACAGGGTTTCTCTGTGTAGCCCCAGCTGTCCTAGAACTCACTCTGTAGACCAGACTGGCCTCAAACTCACAGAGATCTGCCTGGCTGTGTCTCCCGAGTGCTGGGACTAAAGGGGTGTACCATCGTCGTATGGCGGTTTTTGGTTTTTCAAAACAGGGTTTCTCTGTGTTACAGCTCTGGCTGTCCTGGAACTCACTTTGTAGACCAGGATGGCCTCAAACTCACAGAGGATCAAAGGCATGTGCCACCACTGTCTGGCTTTTGTTCTAGTTTTTTGCTTGTTTGTTTATTTACATATATATATATATATATATATATATATATATATATATATATATATATATATATCAGAGTTTGTGTTTAATAAAGATTTTTTTTTTTTGACTCGTGAGATGGTTTGTTTCTTTTATTAAAAGAAAAACTGTTTTCAAAATGTATGATAAGAAATTAGACTTTTATCAATACACAAATAAGTTTACTTAAAATCAGCTCAATCCCATATTTAAAAAACTTCCATAACCTCCTTCCAGGGATGTCTGGAACCCAGAGCCAGTTTGTGTGAACCCCGCAGCACACGGAGGAGCAGTGATGTGATGGTCCAGGTACTCTCTTCAGACTTGAGTGATGGATGCAAACAAAACTTTCTTCCCTGGATGAACAGGTGGATTCTTACAAAGAATTCCATCAAGCTGGGCGTGATGGCCACGCCTTTAATCCCAGCACTCTGGGAAGTAGAGGCAGGCGGATCTCTGTGAGTTTGAGGCCAGCCTGGTCTACATATTCAGTTCCAGGACAAGGCTACATAGTGAGACACTGTCTCAAAGAAACAAAAACAAAAAACAAATAAAAAAGAGAAAGAGAGCAAGAACTCCATAAAAAGTCCACGAAGGAAAACTCCGGCTTTCAGAAGAGTTCCAGTACTTCAATGGAGTACAGTCCTCTATTGCTCTTGTCCTGATTCAACTTCTGTAGCTCCCGAAAACTTACTTCAATCTTGTTGAGCTCAGAATAGACAGAAATCTGAGATTTCACAAATTTGTAAAGATTAAGAATGAGTCTTTTTGCTTCTGGAATCATTAAGACAACAGTAAAATTAGCATCGAGAAGTAGGCATATCCAATCCATAATCTGGCTCAGAGTCGGAGGGCTTACTCCAGGAAGAGTCATGGCAGCATCGCCACTGCACTTCAGATAGAGGAAATACAGGTACTGGAGAAAGAGTGTGATGTGCTTCGCAGGGATGTCCTTCAGGTGCGGCAGGAGGAAGGTCTCACTATATGCTGAATGGAGAACTGCATTTAGCAGAGCCGCTCGCTTTGGTGCCACAGGACATGAGGTCACGGGGAAAGAGACGGTCTCTTTGGCTGTGTCTTTGGGCTTTTTATTTAACTGCTGACCATCTTTACTGCAGCTACTGTCTTCGGGACTGAAGCCATTTTGAACAATCTCAGCTGGCTCTTCCATTTCCTTTTTCTCATCATGTATGGTATCACTCAAGAAAAGCTTTAAGCAAGCACAGGTGGTCGATTCAGGAATGTCAGGGAACTGCTGCAGACACAGCTGTAACATCTGCACATCTTTGTGTTCTAGGGCAATCTCCATCAAGCCAGGGCACAAGCTGTAGGAAAGCACATGCGTTTGGATGAGCTGCATCAGACAGTTCCGGGGATAAAACGATGGTTCTGCTTTACATCGTCCCAGAAGTCCTGCTACTATATCTCCAATTATAGTATGAAAGTCAGGTGTTGACTTAGCCAAAAATTTACGTAGTTCTACTTCAATGTGTTTTTCTGAATCTTTCTTAATTATTGATAAAAGTTGTTTGGATCCTGGAACTTCTGGCTGTAAATTTGTTTCAATTTTTTTTCTCCGTGGAGTTTTTGACTGCTCTGCACTGTAGGACCCAAGTTCATATCCTGAACACGTTTCCCAGTTTACAAAATGGGGCATGGGATGAGTGCCTGACTCTTGAGTAGGCTTGAGCTTTCCCAGAGCGCCTGCCAGAGATGACACTTCACACTTGTATGGAATCACAGTTAGACATTTTCCATGTAGCATAAATAGTATTTCCCCATGATACCAGAGTTGCCCACTGGTTCCTTGCGGCAGCTCTTTTGATGTCTGTAATGTTTGAAATTTTATGTTCCATATGGAGAGACATTCCTTAGTAGTTGGAAGTGGAGGTCCCAGGACTGCTATGTGGTCTTGATCCAGGATGGTGATGGCAGTACCATTTCGAGCACCAGCAGACACAATTGCCTTGAGCATCAATGCTCTAACTAACCTCTGACTCTTTTCAGTGTCACTTGAATATATTGGTATCAAGGTTTCATATATACACCCATCGGAACTTAATGACACCAGGGAGATGAATTTCCCATCCACACGTGCAGTAAAATTTGGTTTAACAGATTTTTCTTCTTTTCCAAATAAGAGTGTGTATTTGCTCAAGCTGTGTGATTTGCACAATCGTACATAAGCAAAGTAATTCCCATGTTTTTCTGTAATAAAAATTAAAACAGGTTGCTTAAATACCATGAAAAACTCTGACCACCTGATCACTTCCTCATCAGGGATGACAGCTTCAATGTTTTGCTGAGGCTCTGTAAGCAAGGCCTCTAACCCACGAGCAGCTCCTCTTCGGAACAGCACCAGTGGTTCTGTCCTTTGTACTGAGTGGATCCTGTGGACCTCAGCTGACAGCGTAGCTTTAAATACTTTATCCAGGTTTACGTCTTCATGATTCCATATTCTCAAAACCTTATGGTCATGTACCACAATGTACTCTCCAGTCTGAAAGTTGCACACAGCTGGACATGTTATAGTTTGACCTTGTTTCACCGACCAGCTGCCCAAGGGTTTCTGATCAGAAACCTTGTAGAGGACCACAGTCCTGCCGCTGTCCGTCACTAGGAACTGGTCTGCTTTGTCACTCTGCTCTACACCGAGGAATCCCTCAGGCCCGGCGCCCAAGACTCCCGTAGACAACGTGAATTCTTCCTCCAGGGCTGCCATTTTGGGCTGGCCCGCAGCCAGCGCATCCCTCCCAGCAGGCTTTGCGCTTCCTTCTCAATAAAGATTTTTTTAAACCTAAAAAAAACTTTTAAAAATATATATTATGGACTGGTGGTGCATACCTTTAATCCTAGCACTCTGGAGGCAGAGGTAGGTGGATCTCTGAGTTTAAGGCCAGCCTAGTCTACAGAGTGAGTTCCAGGACAGCCAGAGCTACACAAAGAAACCTTGTCTGGAAACAAACAAACAAATGTTTTGTCTGTCTATATGTCTTTATTTATTTACTTATTTTATTTCATGTTTGAGTGTTTTGGTTACATGTACATCTATGCACCAGGCATGTGACCTGGTGTCCCCAGAAGTCAGAAGAGGGCATTGAAACTGGAGTTATAGACAGTTGAAAACTATCATTGGGTGTAGGGAATAGAACCCGGGTCCTCTGCAAGAACAGCAAATGCTCTTAACATCTGAGCCATCTCTCCAGCCTTGTCCATACGTCTTTCATACCACATGCCTGCTTGGTTCCCACAGAGGCCAGAAGAGGGCGTTGGGTCCCCTGGGGCCAGAGTTCCCGATGGTTGTGAGTTTCCATATCGGTGCTGGGAGTCGAACCCCAGGCCTCTAAGCCATCTCTCTAGCCCCAAATAATAGAGATATTTTAATGTAGGCTTAAGCACTAGGGGTGAAGAGAAAGAGCTATGCTCAGATGAAAATGAGACATCCACAAGAGCATGGATCTGGGCATCTCAAAGAGGAGCCGGGAAAAGGAAGACACACCCAAGTGTGCAAACAGGCTTCTCAAGGGGGGTCATCTACACAGCAAGTCTGGGGCTAGCCTGAACTGCATCAGACCCACCTCCTAAGTAAGACATAAAAAGGCTATGTCTTCTGTTTGTGTATTCCCATCTCTCACCAGCTTTAGAAAAGCTAGCTTTCAGTTGGCAAGATGTCTCAGCAGGTAAAGAAGGCATTAGCCCAAGCCTTAGGTTGCCATATGTGGACACCTGCACACACACACGCCACACACAAAATAAATACACATATGTTGGGCTGGAGAGATGGCTCAGAGGTTAAGAGCACTGGCTGCTCCTCCAGAGGTCCTGAGTTCAATTCCCAGCAACCACATGGTGGCTCACAACCATCTGTAATGAGATCTGGTGCCCTCTTCTGGCCTGCAGTCATACATGCTGTATACATAATAAATAAATCTTAAAAAAATATATACATATAAGTAAAATTAAAAGGGCTGAATGTTTTGTGTAGCTTTGGAGTCTGTCCTGGAACTCGATCTGTACACCAGGCTGGACTTGAGCTCACAGAGATCCACCTGCTTCTACCTCCTGAGTGCTGGGATTAAAGGCGTGCACCACCACCACCACCACCACCACCACCACCACCACCACCACCACCACCGGCCTTCTTTTTTTTTTTTTAAACATCTTGCCCTGCCAGGAGGTGGTGGCAGTATCTCTGTGAGTTCAAGGCCAGCCTGGACTACCAAGTGAGTTCCAAGAATAGCACAGAGCTACACAGAGAAACCCTGTCTCAAAAAAAAGGAGGAGGAGGAGGAGGAGGAGGAGGAAAAGCTAGCTGTTGCCGGGCGTTGGTGGCCCACGCCTTTAATCCCAGCACTCGGGAGGCAGAACCAGGCGGATCTCTGTGAGTTCGAGGCCAGCCTGGGCTACCAAGTGAGCTCCAGGAAAGGCGCAAAGCTACACAGGGAAACCCTGTCTCGAAAAACCAA